CCCCTCCCCCTCACCGTGGAGCCGGCCTTGACCCAGGAGCCAGTGGATCAGTGACCCTGCACCATGACCAGCTGGTGCCCTACCCCCGTGCCTCCCCTTTACCACAAAGCAGTGTGCCCAGGACCCGGGGAGGCCAGACAGGGTCCCCCTGAATGGCCTCTGGGGCCCACGCTCCCCTTACAGGAGGAGGACTCCGAAGTGTCTAGGCCACACAACGGCCGAGTTGGGGGCACCCCTGGACGGCACCTGTACTCCAAGCGGCTTGACGGGAGTGTCTCCTACCAGCTGAGCCCCCCGGAGAGCGTGGCCCCCGACAGCCTGGGCCGCAGCCTGGGCCGCACCAAGGCCCACCACACCTTGGCGGAGCTCAAGCGCCAGCGAGCGGCTGCTAAGCTGCAGCACGGGCCCGAGGCCCCCGGGCCTGGTCTGTCTGCGGACACAGAGGCCCCCCAGCCTGAGTGTGGCTCCAGGGCTGGTGGGGACCCGCCCCTGCTCAAGCTCACAGCCCCCTCGGAAGAGGCCCCCGTGGAGAAGAGGCCCTGCTGCCTGCTCATGTGAGGGGCTGGCGCTCGGGGTGCCCAGGCTCTGCTGCCAGGCCTGGTGGAGGCTGCCTCAGGCCTTTTGCTGGAGATCCCGACATGTGCCCTGTGGGCAGGCAGCCAGCCGTCCGGGACCCCGCCTCCTCAGGCAGGAATGGGCCTTGGCAGAAGCCATACCTGGGGGGCACCTGGCTACAGAGACCTTGTTTCATCCTGTGACTCTTGATAAAGAGCCCTCTGCCACCTGCCTTGTTGTGTCTCAGTTGGGCCACCGTCCCCATGGGAGCTGCTGTGCGCTGGGCCTGGGTGCACCGTCCCTGTGTGCAGTCATCGGGCCTGTGGGTGCACGCTAGGGCTCGCTGGTGGTGGCCCAGCCCATGTGGGAGTGAGGCCCACAGATGCCGGGCAGGAAGCCTGGCCCTCACTGTGCCCTGCCTTCCCAGGCTCCTGGCGGCTCCTCTGTAACTCTTTGCTGTCCTCAAGGAGCTGCGGAAGGACACTCCCTGGGGACAGGGATGTGTGCCAGGGGAGCAGAGATCCTGGTTTGGGGAGGGAGGGGCAAAGACATACAAGGCTAGTGTCAGAAACCTGGGGGGCAGGTCCCCCATCCTTGGCATGCAGCCCAGTCCTGGGGCCTAGCTGCCAGGTTTTCCCTGGGCTGGCACAGGGGGCCAGCAGTTGGCTACTCAAGCTCTGAGCTGGCTGGGTACGATGTGTCAGGGTGACAGGGGTCCCTTAGGGGCCTTGCGTGGGAGGGCTGAGGGCACTGCCATCTCATCTGTCCATGGAGGGGGGTTCTGCATGGCCACCAGCGCTGGATGGCATGGGCTCAGGTCATCTTCCCCTCCGCACTGAACACCAACCTGGTCAGCCCACTGTCCACAGGCCAGCCCTCCCCTGAGCCTTGTGGTGGGCGGGGTGTCTCACCTGGGGGAGGGCCAGGTGTGAGCTGCTGGTTACATTCAGTGTGGGGCCCGTGCTGCTGCCCAAGTCCACCTGCACCGAGCGCCAGGGTGGGCGGGGCTGGCTCCGCCTGGGGCCGGGCCCATATAGCCTGCACTCTGGCCTGGGGCCGGGGGACAGGCCTGTCACAGGAGGCTGAAGAGGCAGTGCAGTGGCAGCGGAGCAGAAGGTGCGAGGTGAGAGTGAGGCTGGCGCTCGGGCCCCTCTGTCCTCTCCAACTAGCAGGAGCCAAACAGCCGGGCTCCCCTCTGGCCTGACCAGCCGCCCACAGGACAGCATAGATGCAGGCTCCCTGACCCTCAGCTCAGTCCCTGGCTCAGCGTCAGATGCCATAGCTGGAGTGGCCACCCTGGGCAGGGCCTGTGGGGGTGGGGCTCTGAGGGCCTATCACTGCTCACTCCCTACTCTCCACCAATTAGCAGCCACGGGAAGCAGAGCTGAGGTCACCCTGCCTGTGGGGTGGCCCCAAGGGCAGCCCCAGCCGGCCTGGTGAAAGGGCACCCCATGCAGGGCAGCAAGTGTCCAAGGGCCTCCCCCCAACACAGGGGCTCGGAGCTCGCAGTGTTGATGGCGCCCAAGGCCTGAGCACAGGCCCCTGCAGCCCCCACCCTGCCATGACCACCAGCCCAGGAGGGGCCAGATGGAATACCCAGGGCCTCCCCCCTCCCCCAGCACCCCAGGATTCCTGAGGCTTGGCTCAGTTACCTGGGAGATAGGGCTGCTGACCCAAGCAAAGATGGGGGACTCCACAGGGCTACGCTTCCTCCTAGTCCGGCTAGGGTAAATCTCCACTCTCCCCTCTGGGTTCAGCCCTGCCTAGCTCTGCCCACCCCCTTGGGGCACTCAGCCCAGCTCCCCTCCCCCCAGACCCAGTCCCTCAGAACTTCCTGCACCGTCTGTCCCTACCCCCCATGTGGGTCTCCTGCTCCTGTCATGGGGACACGGCAGGCACTGGGCTGAGCCCCAAGCCCCGCCTGCCTCCTCACCCACTCCCTGTGGCTCCCTGGGGCAGAGCTGTGCCCAGATGGGTGGGGCAGGCCCCGTGGCCCCAGAGGCTCTAGCTCCGCCTCAGCCTTTCCTGTTCCTTTCTGTGGGGCCAGCAGGCTGTCGTGAAGAGGGTGCCTTCTTACCTGGAGCCCTACCCAGGCTCCCCCTGACCAGCCCAGGCCCGCTGAGCTGGGACTCAGCTTCCCTCATTCCCACCTCTGGATCCTGCCACCTCCTGCCCGGTCTTAGCAGGGTCATGGCAGTGAGGGCAGGTGGCCACAACCAGGCTGCGATGAACGGGCCGAAGGAAAAGGTGCTGACGCTGGACACCATGAACGCCTGTGTTAAGAGGGTGGAGTATGCCGTCCGTGGCCCCATCGTGCTACGCGCCCTGGAGCTGGAGCAGGAGCTGCGCCAGGTATGGCCCTGGACCCACCACAGCCCTCCAGACGGCACCCAGCACCCAGCACCCAGCAGCCAGCATCACATGGGACAGGAGCCTGCGGGCGTGAGAAGGCCCATTCTCAGTGTCGCGCCTCCCTCCTCCCAGGGTGTAAAGAAGCCGTTCACTGAGGTCATCCGTGCCAACATCGGGGACGCACACGCCATGGGGCAGAAGCCCATCACCTTCCTGCGCCAGGTGAGGCTGGCGCTGCTCTGGCGACCTCTCCCGGTCAGCCGGTCAGCCCTGAGCCCTGTGTCCTGTGTCCTGTGCCCTGTGCCCTTTGCCCCGAGCCTGGCCTCAGCAATCGCTCCACCCAGGTCCTGGCCCTCTGCGTCCACCCGGATCTCCTGAACAGCCCGGACTTCCCCGAAGATGCCAAGAGAAGGGCGGAGAGCATCCTACAGGCGTGCGGGGGCCACAGCCTAGGTGAGCCCACACAGAGCCCGAGGAGGAGGCCTGGAAGAGGCTGTCCCAGGGAGGGGCGGGGCGGACCCACCCACTGGGAGGAGAGGATCTTTTCCCGGGAGCAGCCCGGACCTAACGGGCCTCCCCCGCCCCCTGGCCAGGGGCTTACAGCAACAGCTCGGGCATCCAGCCCATCCGAGAGCACGTGGCGCAGTACATCCAGCGGCGCGACGGAGGCATCCCCGCGGACCCCAACAACATCTTCCTGTCCACGGGGGCCAGCGATGCCATCGTGGTAGGCGGGGCCGGGCCGGGCAGGAGGACACCGCGGTTCTGTGTGTGGCCGGCGGTCAGGCTCCTCCGGGCACGCGGCGTGGGGTGGCCGGGAGACAGGAAGCCGCGGCCCCGCCAACTCCGCCTCCCCCCGTCCGCCCGCAGACGGTGCTGAAGCTGCTGGTGGCCGGCGAGGGCCGCGGCCGCACGGGCGTGCTCATCCCCATCCCTCAGTACCCGCTCTACTCGGCGGCACTGGCCGAGCTCAACGCGGTGCAGGTGGACTACTACCTGGACGAGGACCGCGCCTGGGCGCTGGACGTGGCGGAGCTTCGGCGCGCGCTGTGCCAGGCGCGGGGTCACTGCTGCCCCCGCGCGCTCTGCATCATCAACCCCGGCAACCCCACCGGTGCGCGCCCGCCCTCCCCGCCCCA